AAAAAAAAAAAAAAAAAAAGATGTTGGCCCACATGTGCTATTCAGCCCAGCCAAGCATCCTATGATTTGATTTGGTCTTGGGAAGCCTTTGAACATAGGCTTTTGACAATGTGCTCTGTATGATGTGGGCTTTGAAGAGTGGGCCTTATACCCACGCCCCATGCAATAGGAAACTCTTACAGTTTTTCTGTCTTTCTTGCTACAAGTGGCTCCTTGATCTACAAGATGTTTCCCTCAAACCACCTACCATGGTGTCAGCTAATGGGACTCATGTTCCACATGGTTTTAAGCAGACAGCTCCTCCAAGATCACTTTTCACCATTTGCATGGAGAATCCTGCTCTACCCTGGCTACTGAGACTCTGTCAACAGTTCATTCTAGATCTCTCTCTGCTTCAGTGACATGTTGAATGACCTGTCCTCACAGTGTCCCGAGATAACACAGGGGTTATCCAGACCTTGTTCTGAAGAGCTCAGTTAACCCTTAGCATCTTATGCAGCTAGAAACCTCACAAACGCTGTCTGTGTTCAGCAACAGACTGATGTGTGCTCTGCTCTGTGCAGAGGCGCTAGGATTGCTCACAAACCTGAAGGGCTTGGTACAGGGAGTGGGGAAATCAAAGGTACTGTGTGCCAGTGCTGTTTCCAAGACGGGCAATCATGTTTCCACCTCGCCTTCACATTGAAACTGTCCACTGTGTCCACTGTGGACATCTCAGCTTGTCAGGCTGTGGTGCATGGAGTTGGAGTGTTACTGAATCTTTTCCATCAATGGAATCTGTCACCAAGGAGACAGAGGTGTCTCATTGGAGTATCATATGTATGTAGAATATTTCTTGCCACAGATGTGCTGAGTAAATGGGGGTCTATAATTTTAAGTATCAGACCTTAAACATTGTACCAATTCTTGACAGTAGGAATTCCTAAAATACATGAGGCATTATCAGTTGCAAAAAGCAAAGAATATGAGTACAAATTAGCATTTCCATTTTGCCATGGACACCGCCTATGAAAAGTGATGATTGGGGGTGACCTGTGTGTCCCCACTGACCATCCATCTGTTTTATACCAAAATCTTATCTCACACTGCTAGTCACCTATCTGCTTTAAAATGTGTTTTCCTTATCTGCTATTGGATGGAAAATTAGACATCAGTTTCATAGAACACAGCATTTTTAACAAAGAATGTAGGACCCACCTACAATGAAGAACGGACAAGAAAAAGTAAGAAAATGAACAAAAGGGGACAAAACTGTTAAAATTGTATGTATACAGGTTTGTATACATATATATTCATGTAGCTGCGTGCACATGAGTGCCACTGTCCACAGGCACTGGAAGAGGACGTCAGAGTCTATGGAGCTGTCAGGTGTAGACACTGGGAATGGAACTTAGTCTTCTGCAAGAGCCGTACATAGTCCCAGCAGCCGAGCCCTGGTTCAGCCCCACTGTTCTGACAAGTCAACTATCCTGCCCAGGAACGGACATCAAACTCGTGGGGCACAGCACATCAGAAAACATATCACAGCACATCAACAGTGGGAAAGTAGAAAACGGGGCCCCAGGATGACTTAGAGGGCAAAGGTGTTTGTGGCCAAATCTGAGGAACCGAGTTCAATTCCTAAGACCCACATGGCAGAGAGAACAGATTCCTCTGACCTACATTCACACACACATACACACACACCACATATATATATCACACACACACATACAAAGTCATACATACACACACACACTCTCCACACATACCCCACACATATACACATACTCCCTTCCCACACATACATTCTCCCCTACATACATACATACTCATACACATATACCCATTTTCTCTCTCTCTCTCTCTCTCTCTCTGTCTCTCTCTCTCTGTCTCTCTCTCTCCACACATACCCCATACACATACATACATCCAACACACACATATATACATACTCATACACACACACACACACACAACCCCCCACATATATACATACACCCATACAAACACATACACACACACACACACACACACACACACACATACACACGAAAAAAGAAAGAAAAGCACGCAATGAATTTAAATAGATTTACATTTTTAATTCGGAAGAATAAACAAATATTTCATCTCTATACCATATATCCATATATTTAAAAGAATAAATTGTTGATACATTCAACTCTAACGCCTGTGTTAGATGAAAAGAGCCACACAAAAGGTCATATATTGTTAAGACCTTGTCTAGGCAAAATATTTAGATCAGCAAATTCCATCAGGATAGAGAGTGGATTAGTGTCTGATGCCAGCTGAGTGGAGTCAGAAAACAGGAAGCAAATGTTGCACACAGTGAAGGGATTCTTTTGGGGTAACAAAAAGTCCTAAAATTAACTGATGGACATTGACACAGTTATGCTAAAAACTACTAAATTCTACTACATTTATTTATTTATTTATTTACTTATTTATTGTGTGTGTGCGCGCGCGCACGCGTGCACGTGCATGCGTGCCTGTGCATCCATGTGTGCACCAGAGTGCATGGGTCAAGGTACATGGACAGCTTAGCAGAGTGGATTCTCTCTGCCTTCTGGGTTCTGGGGATCAAACTCAGCTCTACGGGCTCAGCAGCAAGAGCCTTTCCCCAGGGAGCCACCTCACCAGCTCCCTAAACAATGCTCTTTAAATGATAAACGTTTGGGCAGGTGAGCTCTCTCACAAGGAAGCTGCTGTGCCAATACAATGAGAAGAACAATCAATAGGAAGTCTTAGCAACAGGACGCTCTTGACGTCTGTCTTTCCTGTGTATCTATACTAGATGGAGCATGGAGAGACAACAGAGGCAAATGATAAACTCCAGCAACTAACCAAGCCAGATGGAGGTTTGCAGGGGAGCTTAAGATCCACGCTGCAGATTCCTACTGGTCCATCAGAGCCGGGACAGGAAATAAATCCACCCTTTGTAGAGTGGGATTTGAAGATCAGATGAAACATCTGTTGTAGGAATTTCTAGAAAGCACCCCCCCAGGAGTCTAAGTTATAAAGACAAGATATTTTGTCAGCATTTATCTTTTAAGATTTTCACAAATATCCCAAATATAAAGCCCACACCATCTGGGAGATTCTAGACTTAAGTATGAATTGGACACATAATATGTTTCCACACTAGAAAAATCCATTTTTTTCTGTTTAGCTTCTTCATTTGTATTATTCTTTATTGGTTTAACTAGACCTTGTATATAAGATCATGTAAGGGTGAAGAAAATGAAACATCATGTTTATGCATGATGAAAAAGTCTTAGCTTCCTCTGACTATATCAAAGTAATCAATAAAAATTATTATTGTGCTGGACATGGGGGTGCATGCCTTTAATCCCAGCATTGGGAGGCAGAAGCAAGCTTATTTTTGAGACTTAAGGCCAGCTTGGTTTACATAGTCAAACTGTCTTTAAAAAAA